CCCTCCCCACTGGCTTGCAGATAAACGCACTTGCTGCCAAGCCTGATGACCTGAGTTTGAACCCTGGAACCTACAGTTCCAAAAGTTGCCCTCTGACCTCCTCACGCCAGCCGAGGCGTGGTGGGCTCTCTCCCTCTCACTTTCTCTCGTGCGTGCACACACACAAAGAGAGGGGGGGAGAGGGGGAAGAGAGAGACAGAGAGAGTAATAACACATTTTTAAGCATAATAATAAATTTTTAAAAGGATAGTCCCCACCTGGCTGGCTCAAGGTGCCTGGCATGCTCATGATGGGAAAGGGGTTCTTGGAAAGGCTGGGGTACCCAGGACTTGTGGCACAGCTCTACCTGATCCTCTGGGTGCTTTCAGTTGGCCTCAGTCTTCCCATCTGAGCAAAGGACAAGAGGCTGTGGTGGCCAAGGACCGTGGTCTCTGCGGCTGTGAGCCCAGAGCAGAAGTAGGGACACCCACCATGCCACCATGGAAGCTTCAGAGCCTATGTTTGGGGTGGGGACTGGGGAAGTAAAGTCGGGGTTGGAAAATTGTTGGGACCCTTAAAGATGGGCTCTGCTTTATCTTACCTCTAGGTCACAGAGTTCAAAACTGCCCTTAGTAAGTCAAAAGACCTAAAGGTCTAAGGCCTTGGTTACTGCAGGGTGTTTCAGCCTTGGTAGTGGATGTCTCATCTATGTAACAGACTTGGGCTCGGGTGTGTTTACTCTTGACCCTCAAGGCCGGATAACAGCTGTGGTTACCAAATGTCTGGAGCAGTAAGGGAAGAAAGTCTATTTGTTCCTTATACATGATAAAGAAGTCTTTTGCCATGCCCCCCCCCTTTTGATTTGGGGTACTTAAAAATTGTTAAAGAAAAATCAGGGTGGTCAGTATCCACTGGTCTGCCCTCCTGACTCCATCCTGTGTCTCTGTCTTTTTCTTCGCGTCTTTACCCGCCCTTCCTCAATCCACACTCCCCGTCTCAGGTACGAACTGGACAGCTCCGATGGACTGAAGGCCCACAGAGGGCTGCCACAGAAAGTATAGACAGAATTTTCCTCCTTAAATGTTGCAAGAAACCCAGGCCTACCAAGCACACATTTGACTGCATCTGGAATTAACTAAAACCCAAAAGTGGTGGGTACACCTGTGAAGGGCTCCTCCTTAATTGAATCCTCTGAACTGGGAAGATCCGATGCTAACTCAGACCTTCTGAGCCGGGGAAATCTACCTCTAATCTGGGCTGCACCTTTTGCTGCCAGCCACTACAAAGAACATGGAAGGAGGAAGCTTGCTCTCTCTTTGAATGCTTCCTAGAGCCCTGGGCAGCAAGTCACTAGAACTAGGATTCGCTAGAATTCTTCCAGCATGTACTGGAGACCGTAGACTGAGCAGCTCCTGGATTCTTTGACCTTCCTTTTTCCATACATAGGCAGCCACGATTCGATTAGCTGTCCACAGCCTGTAAATCATTCTAATTAATCCCATATATATATGTGTGTGTGTGTGTGTGTGTGTTTTTATATATGTGTGTGTGTTTATATATATATGTGTGTGTGTGTGTTTATATATGTGTGTGTGTGTTTATATATGTGTGTGTGTGTTTATGTGTGTGTGTGTGTTTATATATGTGTGTGTATGTATATATATGAGATTCACTCTATAAGTTCTGTTATTCTAGAGAACCCTGACTAATACAGTGTGCAAGGGGCAGAGCCTCTCTCCCTCAGGGCCACGGACATCCACGGTCCCTCAGCTGGTCCCCTGTTGCCCCTCCCTAATGCATGGACCAAAACAGCCCTTACGTTGGCAAGTTCGGGGAAGACTTGGAGCAGAGTCACAGATGGGCAGGAAAGGGAGATACCACCCACCTGTGGTTTCCCATCCATTAATCTGATAATTATGACCCCGGAAGGAGGGTGGGCAGATCCCCAACCACCACAGGCTGAGGAGCAGCAATGCACGGCTCCTCCTTGGTGGCTCCCTCCAGCTCCTGCTCTTTGCCTTTCGCTTTCCTCTTCCCCATTTTCTCTCCCCTCCCACTCTTTCTGATGTGCGACAGTTCCCTCTGAGGTCGGAACCTTTCATCTCCAAGGGAGGCTCTTTAAGACTCGGACTGTTTACAGTAGAACACTCCATCCTGCAGACAAGCTCCTTAGGCTCAGGAAGGAAACAACTCACAGCCGCTTCAGTAGTTCCTGAAACTGAGCAGATCCGCCAGGCCCCGCCCCTCCCCAACAGGATACCGGTGGTGAAGGGAATCACCCTTCCAGGAGCAGTGCTGCCTGGAAGAGGCAGGGACCAGCCGAGGCACCAGGAAAGGACACTCTTGACCCGCTGAGCCGCCTGCAGACGGTGCAGTGCGCTCCAGGTTCCCAGCTTTGTGAGCTGTCACCCATGCTGGGATGGGCTTTGGTGACGCAGCTGTCTTGGCTCCTGTAAGCGACCCCAGTGTAACTCATGGTTCACCGAGTCTGACTTTAATGGCATCTGAACTGTGGTCCAGTGTTGATTCCCTGTCAGGGGTGTGTGGTCATTTGTCCACAGGTCTCTCGAAACAGCGTCAATCAATGGCCTCCTCTTTCTAGCACCATCCGGTGCCTGCTTTCTGGTCTCTACTGGGCACTGGCTCAGAGCAACGGTGGGAGGAGCTACCGGGAGCAGACAGTAAGGGAGGAGAGCCCAAAGTCTTGCTTCTCACAGCGTTTTGTTTTCTTTCTCGTTTACTCATCCCCCTGGGCCTCTCTACTGTACCTTTAGGGACCCCAAGACATATTGAGGAAGAGTAGCTATCACAGACTACCCAGTCATTGGCCCTGGGTCCAACCCCAGGTGTGAACACTCCCTGGGGAGATGATGAGTAGCAGAAGGAGGCTGCAGAGGGCAGAGGCACCTGTGCACTTAGCCGGGTCACCCTGGGCTTGTCCTGTCCTTTGCCCTCTCTGGGCCCAGATTTCACTTGTGGCTCCTCCATCCTGAACCCTGTGGTCAATCCCCTCTGCTAAGCAGTATTTGCAGTATCAGGTGTCCCTGCCTGCCAGTTACTCAGGTCCAAATAGCATCAATGTTTTAATTGCCTTTCTCCTATAATCTTGGGGAATTGACCTCCAGGGAAGATTTGAAGAATAATTTCATGCTCTCTGCTTCCCTCGCAAGACTGCCCTGCCAGGCCAGCTCTGTTTTCTTCTCTATGGCTCCAACACAGCCTCGCATCTGGGACTTTTTCTTTTCTTTTTTTTTAATTTGATACAGTTGCCAGCCTTCCTCGTGGCTCTGGTTTGAGCTGGCTCTTAATGGAGACCATCAAACTCCAGTGACTGCTCTTACCCTGCCTTTTCCCCTTCCATCAATATCCCCAACCTTGCTGCCAAGAACATAAGACTTTCCTACAGCATGTAAGAGGCTAGCGGTTACTCCAAACTAAAGTGTAAGGACTACATCTTTAACAATTAGGGGGGAATGTGAACCCATCAAACTTACAGTTTAACACCTCATTCAATCCCCCTTATCTCTTTATCATGCCCCCCGAAATCTTGCACAACTCATAATTGGCTAAACAATTCTATAGGCTGGGTGGCCTCAGGAAAATTCCTTGACCTCTCTGAGCCTCACATTCCCTATATAATCCAGGCTATCCCCAAACTCACAATCCTTTTGCCTCAATCTCTTGAGCGCTAATCCCAACAGGCATGTACTTCTACACTTGGTTTATCAACGTTCTTGGGGGAGGGAGATGTAGCATAAATAGACAAACCAGGTTGAGATGGGGCTGGTTTGTAAACCACTTGCCTAGCATGCCTGGGACTTTAGTCCCATCCCTGTAACTTACACACAGAAAATATGCAGACTGTTTTACAACTAAATCCTAACAAAGCCCAAGACAATGGGGGCCCTGGGGCAACCTGGGCTACATAGTGACACTCTCAAAAACTGGGAGACTCAGTGGCTAAGCATTTGCCACGTGAGGACCCAAGTTCAGATCTCCAGAACCCGTGTGAATGATGAGTGGGCATGGCAGCCTGTGAGAGGGGAAGGCAGCATCAAAGGAGCAAGGATTAGCTTCATCTAGGAGCTCTGGGTTTGACTGAGAGACCCTCCCTTGCAGGGAGCTGAGGAAGCCCTGAATGAGTGTGTATTGTTGACAAGGCCATGGACACTTCAAGAACACATGACTCAGAACATGGGAGTGTCGAAGCCTTCCCCTGAGCCAGGCTCAGAGGGATGGCAAAGAGTCTTCCTCTAGTCTGAGTATGAATGCTGGCAGAGTGTATGAGTGACCGTTGACTAGACATTCTCCAAGAACCCAGGTTCAATTCCCAGCACAGACATGGAGGCTCACAACTGTCTCTAACTCCAGTTTCAGGAACAGGTGCCCTCCTCTGCCCTGTATGAGCACTGGACACAGATGGTGCACAGACCTTCACGCAGGCAAAAACCCAGACACATAACATAAAAGAAAAATAAATAAAGCATAAGTCAGTAAAAGAGGCAGCAGGGCTAGAGAGGGTTCAGCAGCTGGGAGGTTTTGCTGCTGTAGCATGTGGACAGGATTTTCCACATCCAGTCCCTCACAACAACCTGTAACCCAGCTCCAAAGGATCTGGAGCCCTCTTCTGCACCCATGGCATTCACAAACGCAGGTGTGTACAGACAGACAGACACACACACACCCCCAGAGAGAGAGAGAGAGAGAGAGAGAGAGAGAGAGAGAGAGAGAGGATGGAATAAAAATAAACCTTAAAACCAGCCAAATAGCTGGTCATTGGGGGCACACACCTTTAGTCCCAGCACTTGGGGAGGCAGAGACAGTCGAATCTTAATGAGTTCGAGGCCAGCCTGTTCTACAAAGCAAGTTTCAGGACAGCCAGGACTGTTACACAGAGAAACCGTGTCTCGAAAAAGAAAATAATAATAATGATGATGATAAAAATAAACAATCCCCCCCCAAAAAAAAAACAAATGACAGAAATTTTATAAAGCTACAAATTGCTTCACCAGGAAGGCAGGTAAAACTGAAACGCGCTTTTTATTTCTTTAAGCTTTGTGAGCTGGCGGGGCATGGGCTGGCTGACAGAGGTGCAGGGTTCCTAGGATGCAACATAGGGTAGCCAGGACCAAGAACAGCCACATCTCCAACCAGCTGCTCAGTCGTTCACGAAGGCTCCCCAGTGCGCAGGTGCCGACTCACTGCTGGATTCTGCGCACACTCTGCACCTGGAAGGTGTGGGCATGGGAGCCCCACTCCCTGAAGTGCTTGTAGTCACCAGAGTGGTGATCACTCTCCAGTACATACTGAAAACCTCGGTAGCCGGGAAACTGGGAACAAACCCACCTGGAAAATGGGAGAGACTGTTACCGAATACAGGCTCCGGAGGTCAAACCAAGTCAGAGTCAGGCAAAGATGCATCGAGAAGCCCAACCAGCCAGGTGGGCTTGGTGGCCCTGGTACTCCACATAGGTGTGTAGGAGTTCACACAGAGAGAGAGAGAGGGGGGGGGCTTTACTGCTGTGGTTTCTCGGGGCAGAAACACCCTCCCTGCCACTATTCAGGGCCATGGTGTACAATCTGTCTCAAGACTATCCATCCGACCGTCTCCACCAGGCCCTGGCTGTCCCTTCATAACACTCATAAAATTGGATAATTTTAAGATTACTTTAAGATTACTTTTAAGATTACTTTTAAGATCTGGAGCCCATCCCTCAATCTCCCCGTGCAGACACCGTGCACAGAGGAGCCAGTGAAGGGCTCTTAGAGAACGAAGGAATGGGGGGATGGACAGGAAGTCATTTTTCATCCAGCCCTCCCTCACAGCTGTTCCGAGACATGGACCCCTTGCATTGGGTTTTCTGAGCCTTCACCTTCCTGCCTCCAGAACAGGGAAGTGAGCGAAGCACAGTGTCAGACATACTGAGGCACATCCTGAATCTGGTCCCTCCCTTTATAAACAAAAGCCCTGCTTCACACCTTCATCCTTGCTCGCAAGACCCAAGCGCCCAGGAGAAGGAGCAGCCTGCCTAGACACACACCAGGTCTCCCACTTCACATCCAGGGTGGGAAAGAAAGCAAGGGTCTCAAAAAGCATGTGACCTATCCAGCCAATCAGAGCATCCCTCTCGTTTGGACATGATGATTGGTTCAGAGGAGAGCACATGGCGATCCAAGCTGGACCAGTGTGCCCTTTATCTGAAAACTTAAGAGTAAGGCATCCTGTTTCCGCGCTTAGGGTGGAGTGTAAAGCCAGTCTCCGTCTTTGCTTGGGGGAGACCTGAAACTTGTGAAATCAGACAATACATACGGTTTCTCTGAATTAAAAAAAAAAAAAAAAGAATAGAGCCGCGTGGAGTGAGACGGGGAGAGAGGCAGACCCCAGCAGCTTCTGGATCCAGCAGTGCCTGAAGTTGATCACAGGGGCCCACGTACATCCTTTGTCCCTAAGCCAGCTTGCCCTGGGTGTCACTTGCAATCCCATACGTCCTGCCTGATTCCTCTGTGCCTCCAAGTTCTCTGGCGTGCCGAGCACACAGTCTCTACAGAAAGTGTCTCAGCCCTTCCCACATCTCTATGTCTTGCTAGCCAGAGCTGTGCGTCCACTTACGCCCCAGATTGAACGTGGAAGGAGCCCACTTCAGTGCTGTCCCAGCCCATGGCCTGCAGAGAGGGATAGTCATCGTTCAGTTCGCCTTTCCTGCCCAGGAAGTTCTCCTGCTCGAAGATGGTCAGCCTTGAGTCACGGTGGTTCTACAGACAAAGGAGAACTGGGTTAGACCGCAGGAGCCGCTGCCCCTCACTCCGCCATTGTCTCCAAATCAGCCTTCCGTGCAGAGCTCTGCAGAGAAGGGCAACAGGAAGCTTTACAAGATACTTCAGCATCTGCCCTTCCAAAGGAACAGAAGAGATAACTACAAGGGTGTCCACCATAACGGTAAAAAAAAAAAAAAAAAATTAAAGGAACTGACATAGATGTCCCATAGCAGGAGACCAGGCAGGAAGATAGGGTGCTGTGCTGTGAGAGCTGTGTGGATTTCTGGGTTAGACTCCTGATTCTGCCCTTTTTCCAGCTGGCTGAGCTCAGGCACACCACACAATGCCCGGCTTTCCCGTAGCAGTAGCTCAGAGACAGTCATATCCCCTTCCATCTTTGGGATGGGAGAGCCATCCACGCTCCATCAACAAAAGCAATGCACAATGGAGAGGAGATGATGAGTTGGGGGATAGCACATAGGACCCATCTGCCCAACCAGCTTTGCCTTCCCTGGCATCCAACTTTCCCAGGAGCCCGGAGCCATGGAAAGATGGAAATACCACACAAAAAGGCCCCCACCATAACCAAAATTTCTTTAGACCAAGATATCACGTTGGGGTGCAGCCATGACATGGCTACTGCCCCTTTATGTCAAATTACAGAGACTGAAGGTCGTGGGAGAGAGAGACTACCCACATCACTGTCTTGGTGGAAGGTGAGAGCTTAAGCTTAGAGATCGGATCCCCAAGTGTCCATGGGCAGGGCACACATGCAGGATGCTGATAGTAAGACTCACAGCACAGGCCACAGGCCGGAAGGAAGTAAGTCTCTCAGCAGGGTAGGCTGTGTTGCCGCTCCAGGCATCCCAGGCTGGGTACTCGCCCCTCTCCAGCACGCTCTGTTGCCCTTGGAAACCAGCATGTTCAAAGCCCACCCACCTACAGACAGACAGGGCAACAGAGAAGAGTAACCAGCCTGAAAACTATGTCAGGGCTCCAAGTGCGGGGGTTGAGGGGGTTGTACAGCCTCTAAGGCCACTTAACAATACCTGGGCTGCTACAGACTACAGCTAGGATATCTGAATCTTCTTCGAATCCCCCAAGACAGCGCCCCTTACCAGCAGGAAGTAGTTTGGAAAGAACGACGCCCAAATTCCCAAATAAAAAAAGAAAAAAAAAAAAAAAAAAAAAAAAAAAAAAACAATACCTGGGCTGTTAGGACTTTAGGTGGGAAGGGATGCAATGTTCATCCAGTAAGTGGAAGACAACACAGAACCCCAGGTCACCTACCCAAGAACAGCCATGCCTAGACATTGCCAAGTGTGTGGGGGGGGGGAACCCTGCCTTAGCACCAAATAGGAAAGTCTGCCTAGGACCAGCATCACACTGGCTCCCTGTATCCAACAGGGAAGGGACCGCCCTAGGCAGGTGCTCTGAGCTCCTCATGCATCACTGCCACAAAGGCCACGTCATGTAGACAGGGTTCCAGCCATGGGCTGACCTCAGCTTCACTGTCTCCTCATGATCCTGTCCAGACCGTCTGAGGAGTCAGGAGCTGTCTACCCTGAGATGTTTCTCATTCTCCCGCCCCAAGGAGGCCTCTGGGACAGCTTCTCGCTCGTGCTAATTCTCCACAGCAGAAGGGCCTTCCACACTCCCTCCTTGAGCAGAAGCACAGAGGGAGCCCCTTTACCACCTCCTTTTCTTTGTCTCATCCTCAGGGACAGAGAACCCAGGAGACTTGTGTGCTCCATCTGTGTAAGTAATAAGCGCTCTGGATCCACCCAGGCTCTTTTCCTCCTGTCCAGCCTCACTTGGCAATTTGCAGGACACCGTCCCTAGACAGGCAGCTGTCCTGAGCCCTGTCTCCCAACATGAGCAGAGCAGAAGCTAAAAGAACAATTACAGTGGTTCGAGATGCACACAGATCACCAAGGTGACCTTGGGAAGCACCCACAGACAAAGCCTGGGCTCTGAGTCATACAGAGAAAGTCTGACTCTCCTTCTCGTGCTCCTTTCTAATTTTCCGGAATCTCCTACCCAATGGAATAAGCATCAGCCACATGCAACTAATTATATTTGATCTCAAGATTAAATAAAAATTAAAATCCAGCTCTTAAGTCACAGAATATACATTTGAAATCCTTCCTCAATGGTCACATGTGGCCAGTGACTCTCAAACAGATTAATTAGATTTATAAAATCTTCCCATCCTTGTAGGAAGGGCTGCTGCAGGATGCTAGTCTTGAGGGTCTGGGTATAAGTGGTGCTAGTTGTCAGAAATCATCTAAGAGGGACATCTTCAGACCCAATGGGGCTGCCTCATCTAATAGGCAGGGACTGTGCGACGGTGTCCCTTACGAGTGGGACATGTAAAACCTGCGTGATGTGTGAGGCAGCAACCCAGAATTCTCTTTTGCACTTGGGAGGAACACACAGGTATAGTTAAAGCCTAGAAAGATAAGTCTGGGAACCTATGAGGGTCCCAACATCCCTCTCTAGATTCCCTTCCTGCCCCCCTACCCCCACCCCTCACCCCCATCCAGACTCAGCATCCTCCAGACTCACGCTCCACTCAGGACCTTCAGAGATCTCACGGTCTCGAAGCCAAGCTCCAGCACACTGGGACACTCAGCTGTGAATTCATGCCGGCGGCCCTGGAAGCCCTCTTCATCCCACACCACCATCTACACAGGAAAGGAGGAAGATGCGTGGACATCAGTTCTGTGATCAGTGAGGGTCCTCACCCTGGATTCAGGGTGGAGCCAAACAGGTGAACCAAGGTCACATGCTCCAGGGCCTCCAGGGCCAGGTGGGTGAGCAGGGTGGGGTCCTGAACAGCACCGGCCCACAGTACCATCTCTCTCTCTCTCGCTCTCTCTCTCTCTCTCTCTCTCTCTCTCTCTCTCTCTCTCTCTCTCTCTCACACACACACACACACACATACACACATCATATGCGAATGCAGCCAGAGCTTCTGCCTGGCAAGCCTTCACGGGAGACCTTTATGCAGCTCCTCCAAGCTATTTGTTTTGAGAGGAAAATCTCACAAGGTCCACACTGGCCTTGAACTCACAAGCTTCAGGCCTCCACTTGCTCAGTGCTAAGATTACAGGCGTGTACCATCACAACCAGCTTTTAGTTCCTCTTCCCAAGGCCAAGCACAGTCAGTGAAATGCGGCTATAAGATTGTGGGAAGTAGCTCAGCGGTGGGGACTGGAAGACCCAAGTTCAAGCTCAGGCTGTGTGACTCCCTGCTGTGAACCTTGAGTGCACAGCAGTCGGTACCTCTCCCCTGTGAAGTTTCGGTCGGGGGCTCTTAGCTGGCCTCCTCCCTTCCCTCTCCTAGGACACCTGCTCCCTGGGCCGCTCCCTACCCTCCAGTGTCCGGCTGACTTGGTGCACTGCAGGGTCATGTTGGCCCGGTCCTATAGAGAGAAGAGCACAGTCACCTTCCATCTGATTTTCGGCCGCATCCTTGACTGAAGCAGGGGCAGAATCAAGATGGGTCTGGGCGTCCCTGGACTGGGATGACCCTTGCCCGCCCCCCAGCCGACCCGTCTGAGATGGCGTCTCCTCAGCCACATCTGGGTGTCATCACCTCCAGCCCCAGCTCACAGTGGGTCTGCTGAGGCTGTGTGGGTGGAGTGAGGTGGGGGCATCTCTCCCCCATAAGAAATAAAGTGCAGAGATAGTCTGATGTGTATGGCTCTCGTGGTGGACGCACAGGCCACAGAACGATGGAGGGGGAACAACTTGGCATTTAAATAAGAGTCAGAGGCAGCACTCTGAACATTCAGAGACGACTGGGCTATGATGGCATTCAGGGTGACCAGTGACACATCCCCAAAAAGATGCCACCAGAGAGCTCAGCTGCCTCCCACCCAGACTTACCAAGAAGGTCCCAGCGCACATGTCAGAACTAGGGCCGGACAACGCCAGGCTCTTATAGGCAGGAAAGGGGCAGCGGCCCCAAGGGACAAACACAGACTCAGCAAGCCAGTGGTAGAAACAAAAGCCGGTCCTGGCCAAGGCCCAGGGTGGACATGTCAGCAGCTCTGGCGGGCGTTAGCGGGGAGGGAACAGTGGCTTGCCCCAGGGTCAGCACTAAAGGAGATGAGAGGCGGACTCCAGTCCCCTTCCCTGACTTCCACAGGATTCCTAACTAGGACCAGGGAAACACTAGTCATGGGACCCAGCATCATCTTGATGGTGGGTGACCTTCCGTCTGTCTGCATGGTAGGACAGACATAAGCCAGACCTCAGAGTTGCTATACCTGCTCTCCTCCACCATTCCACGTGCCTCCCACCTCTACCCGCTAGCCATCAGTCTCCGCCGGGCTTGAGGCCACCCAATTTCTACAGTGGCTTGGGAGGAGAGGCATTCTAAACAAAACCCCAGGGGCACAGGACAAAGGCTTAGGATAGCAAATACAGAGGAGATAGAACACAAGTCTTCAGAGGGAGAGTTAAGAATGACAGTCAGGGCCAGAGCAGGTGCAGTCTGCAAGACCTGTGGAAGATTCTGTGGCTGTGCGCGATGCAGAAGCTAGAGGCTGCAGCTTGCAAGCAGGCTTCACCAAGCTAAGTAGGGTGGACAAACACCCAAGGCGTGGAACTCCCCTCCCCCAACCGTGCCTCAGAGGAAGCCTGGGAAGGGCCTATCAGAGAACTGGGTAGCACAGCAGGAACCGCTTGTGGTAAAACTCACCCCCATGCTGCTGGGTGAGGTCACCCAGATAAAGACTGAGTCCCCTGATGGCCAGGAAGTAGCAACATCTCTTCCTTCCTGTAATGGCAAAAGAGCTGTCTCACACACACAGGACTTGGGGAAGGGTGAATGGGATGTAAGCACCACAGGCAGCAGCCTGGTTCTTACACACACACACACACACACACACACACACACACACACACTCACACACGCACGCACACACACACATACCTCCGAGAGGGTTCCTAATGCCTCTGAGCCTCAGTTACATCACGTATTAAAGGGAAACGAAAAGACAAAGTGGCCTGGGCAATGGTGGCACACACCTTTAATCCCAGCACTCAGAAGGCAGAGGCGGGCAGATCTCTGTGTGGGTTCAAGGCCAGCCTGGTCTACATAGCAAGTTCCAGGACAGCCAGGGCTACAGGAAGAAACTTTGACTGGAGAAACAAACAAACAAAAAAGACAAAGTTGGGGGGGGTCAGTGGCTGACGAGATGGTTCAAAGGGGGTGCCTGCCACCAAGCCTGACAACCTGACTTCAATGCTGAGGATCCCAGGATGGAAGAAAAGAATTGACCTGTTTCCCTCTGAACTCCATGTGAGCATGCACGAATACACACACACACACACACACACACACACACACACACACACACACACACACACACATATGCAATTTTTTAAAATGTAATCTTAGTAGTTAGCCTGAAAGCTGTCTGGGTGCCTTGGCCACTTTTACCCCTCCTGCTAACAGTAGAAGTACTTATCATTATGAATGACAGTTCCCCCCAAAGCAGGGGCTCATAGTGCCTAAGAGTCTGGACTCAGGAGGTTAGAAGGCTCTGAGAGCCCACAGCCCTGTGTGGTGGTGAGCCCTGCCCTTGCAACCCCAGCACGTGTGGGATGTGGAGGCAGGAAAGCCATCCTCGGCTACATAGAGAACTTGAGGCCAGCCTGGGCTGCATGAGACCCTGTCTCAACACACTAAAGAGAAATAAAAGGTTCCACGTGATAGATGGGAAAGAGTGCTGGAAAGGGACAAAGGAGCCACCCACTTTCTTGTCTATAAATGGTTCCTCCGAAAGCAGGCTGCAGAGAGTACCGAAGAGCTCAGAGAAGAGCTGGCCAGTAAGGGAGGCCGCCCCCATCTCCCAGAGCCTTTGGCAAGCTGCCCACTGCCGGGACGGTAGGGGAACAAAACTGCCCCAGATGCCTGCCCTTGAAACACAGACCTGTGGGTGGCCCCCACCACAGGCATTTTGGCCTGAGTCCCAGTGACTGCCCCCTTCCTGTGGTTCCTGTGTTTCCCAGCTTGCCCTTCAAGGACTTGGCCCAGGATGAAAGGCAAACCGGAGGCTAGCAGGGAGAGGGGCTCGTGGGTAGAGGGGCAGGGTCAGCGGTGGCTGCTGACCAGAGCGACCACAAGGCAGAGCTAGGCTCCATGGGGGTCCTGGACTTCCCAAAGAAGAAGGGTTTCTCAGAAGATGGATGAACCCCACTGCGGCTGAAGGCCACTTTGAGTTCACACCGTGGACAAGGTTGAAACCTGACCTGTGTGTGTGGGTTTCAATTTCTCTATTTGGGGAACCTGTGGACCATCTGCCTTCCGCCTATTGGGGTTCACTGGTGTACCAAGACACATGGCTGCCCTGATCTTTGTCTCAGGCTCCCTCCAGCTCTGCCGTCCATCTATGGTCTCTTCCACCTCCCTTTGATCTCTGTCCTCGCCTGGGATGTCCATTGCCTCTGTCTCCCCACCCTCCAGTCAGTGAACACTGGAGTCCCCCGATGTCCCCATTTTACCCTGATGCCGTCGGGGACCTGCAAGAGTCCAGGCCATACATGAAGCGCTAGCCACTTGCCCAGGCAGGTGCAGTGGGATGGGAGGTTGCTTAGAGACTCCATGTTCCTGCCCCTGCGCAGCACCCCTGGGGTCAGCCTCTGGGGGCTGATGGGCAGTTAGGAAGGACCCAGGTCTTGAATCCCAAACACTTGAGCCCGAGACCCAACCTCACCCCACCACCCTAGAAGCAGGATGTCCGGCAGACCTCACTCAGGACCAAGATCAGATGGGCCAAGATGCAACATGCAGGCCACAGCCTGCCTGCTTGGCCTGGCCAGTGCTGGCACTCAGTCTTTCCCATCTGAGAAGTGGGTGCAGTGAGAGCCAGGGCAGGGCAGGGCAGGTGTGCTTCAGAGCCAATCACAAGCCCAGGGGCTGCAAACCCTCAGGAATGAGGCTGTGCCCTGGGAGCCCTTCTGTCTTTACGGAGCATGTCCTGTTCAATGTTGTCCTCAGTTCTGTGCAGCATCCCACAGGGAGACACTTCACCTGTACCTTTAGACGGAGACCACCAGAGGTAAAGACTTCTGGAACCCCTGCTGTGTTTGGTGGCCCAAGGCAGAATTCTAATTCAGGCCTTCAGGCTGCCTCCTCCCTGGTGCCCCTTCCCTACCCTAGGCTGGCAGCCAGCAGGGCCCTGGGCCCGTCTCCAGCCAGGGTAATGGACACTGGAGTCAGAATAGGGTTGGGGCCAGGGTTACTCTGTGTCCCAGACCCACAATGGAAATCGCTAGCCTGTGCAGTATTGGGGCAAAGCCGGCCCTGGACCCTGTCCAGGCTTGCTGAGCCAGCTACCTCTTTGTGCTGCACACTATACACCCTGGTGTCTGCCAGGTTATAAAATGGGGGGTCGGCCCCGAGGCACCCACAGCACCCGCCTGCTCTCCAACACAGGTAAGAGGGGACCGCCACGCTGCCAGAGAGCTGGGGGAAGGTGGGAATAAAGGGAGGGAGGGAGGGTAAAAATAGAAAGAGAGGGGTGACGACGAAGAACTGGGCAGACGTTGCGAGGAAGCAAAACCCAGAGCTTTTGCTCAGGCACACCTGTCTAGCCAGCACTCAGGAGGGTAAGGCAGGAGGATCGCTGAGCATCGGGGACTAGCCTGGGCTACAGAGAGGGACCCCCATCTCAAAACAGGGAGAGAGGCAGAGAGGGGGAGCAGAGGGGGAGAGAGGACGAACACACAGGGGCAAGGTTGAGGGTGGCGGAAACCCCCAGATGTGGCCCAGATGTCCCGTCCACCCAGTGCCCGCAAGGCACCGTTTTAGTATAGAGTTCCGGAAGCACACTACTCCCTCCTCTGGGGCCTCCCAGACCCAAGTGCCAGGCTGGTATTTGCACACCCACATCTGCCCTCAGAGGACACCAGGGGTGGACGGATGGCTCAGGACACACGCACACACACGCACACACACAGGCACACACACGCACACACAGGCACTCGCTCCCTGAGCAGATGTTGGCTGAGCAGTTCCCATGCGCCTGGCACAGAGCCAAGTGCTAAGGACTGGAAAGGAGTGTTTACAGGGTTGCACTTAGTAACCCAGGTGCCTGCGCATCTGCTGGCTGAGGAGGAGGGAGCTGACTGACTGACTGACTGACTGACTGACTGACTGACTGACTGACCCGGTTGCAGGGCACCTTTACTCCAGCTGGACTCTAGGGGGAGATCCTGACCCGAGCTAGCCCACAGCCAAGGCATCCATTGCTGTGTTTGATGGAGCCCTCCGGAGCGGAGCGTGACCTGTCAGTCACCTGGTGACATGCTACATACACACGTGTGTGTTAGAGGAGAAACACAAGGGACCAAGAGAGTCAAGAGCAGAGTGTGGGGCTGGAAGGAAGGACACAGGTCAAGGGAGGGACCGCTTCAATGCTGGCTGCCCAGGGAGAGCCGACGTCTGGGAAGGCGGCTGTGGCCATGGGGTGAGAAGCACAGGGTAGGGCAAAATCACCCAGCCCAGAGATTCATTTTCCTTTGCAGCGTCAGGAACCATGTCTCAGGCTGCTAAGGCTGCGGCCACCACGGCGGTAAACCCGGGGCCTGATGGCAAGGGGAAGGGGGGCCCAACCACGGGGCCAGCCCCAGCCCCTGGCCCCACCCCGGTCCCAGCTTCTGTGCCCAGGCCCAGTGCCAAAGTAGGGGACCTTCCTCCTGGGAGCTACAAGGTAAGGATGTGGTGGGGAGATTTACCAATCCATGTCCTCCCCTTCCTTCCTCCTCATTCTCCCCGCTTTGCATATCTTCTCTCCTTCCTGCGTTTCTGAATCTCTGCCTCCCTGTGCTTTCCTTCCCCTGGCTCTTTCTGCTTCCCCCATCCTCCCTGGCCTGCTTCCCATCCTCCCTGGTGTGCTCCCCTGCTCCCCATCCTCCCTGGCCTGCTCCCCATCCTCCCTGGCTTGCTCCCCATCCTCCCTGGCCTGCTCCCCATCCTCCCTGGCTTGCTCCCCATCCTCCCTGGCCTGCTCCCCATCCTCCCTGGCCTGCTCCCCATCCTCCCTGGTGTGCTCCCCTGCTCCCCATCCTCCCTGGCCTGCTCCCCTTCCTCCCTGGCCTCTTCCTTCCTACTGCCGCCAGGCCAGCCTGAATGTGGGAGCCTAGCGGTTGGCAAAGTCAGCGACCAGAGAAGAGTGTGTCTGATGGCAGGCACCACACATCCCAGGAAAGCCACTAGACCACCAGGATGACCTGAGATCTTCCTGGAAATCCTTCCCCAAGGTCCAGGTTGCAGGGCTTCTTTCTGGAAAGCCAGACTCTCTGCCCTTGGGGTTCGATTTGTGGTGACTTCACCCTCAGGTAGAGAGCCCTGGCTACATTTGATTTATGACTCACACCTAACCAGGATGTGGCTGGCTTTATTTACATCATTGCATTTAACCATTGACTTACATTTACTTTCTAACAAGCCACAGCAATCCATATGCAAGCCAAGATTTGGTGGGAACCTCTACCTGGCCCTAAGGGTTCCTTCAGACCCTATTTCTCCCTACACCATGACCTCTCCAACTCCAAGCTTCTTCCCACCTGCACCTGGTGCCAGACTGCTGTCTTGACACCACTGAATGGCAGAGTTGCTGTTTGGGACAGAAAATGTGTAAAAAGTCCAAATGAGAGGTGCAGAGGGGAGGGAGGGGTTGGCTGTGCATTGGGCAAGTGAGCCTCGCCTATGTTTGGGTCCACAAATAAGGAAATGGATCATGACCTCTCCTGAAGGAGACCTTTGGGGGTAGAGGTTGGGAAAAGAAAAGGAGAAGGAGGGAGAGGAGGAGGAAGGGAAGGGGGTGGAGGAGGAGGTGGAAAATAGAGGCTCAGAGGCAGCGGTGACTCCCCAAGGTTGTACCTGGCTATAAAGGGTATCACAGGGGAAGCATTCGGCCCCTGCCCAGGGTAGAGGAGAGGCAACCCCAGAAGGCTCCTTCATGAAAGTGGATTCTGCACCTAGAGCAGGGTGAGGGCCACACAAGTAGCCTGGAATATAAGTTAGGAAGTGGAAGGTCCAAGTTAGGGACTCCTAGTGAAGAGGTCATGCCAGGCTGAGAAATAACACATGGAATGAACACACAGAAGGGCTGGGCACACAGACTCAGTCCCACCAGTTGGTGGCAGAGACCAGAGGATCCCAAGTTCAAGGCTAGCCCAGGTCAGTCTAGGCTACATAGAGAGACCGTGGATGGGAAACACGGTACCCATTCCTGGGCCCGAGCATGGTACTGACCTTGAGATCATAGAGGGGAGACTGGACAGGAGGCTCATTCACAAACTGATGCTCCCAGCATCCGGAGAGTTCTAGACCATACCTGCTTTGATTGACACATGCTCTCTCTCGGGAGTTGTTTGGTCCGAGCCACCTGTTTTGATTGACACGTGTCTTTCAGGAGTTGTTAGACTTGAGCCCCTCAGATTTGGTTCATTTTGGGGTCAGGGTCATGGAGCCAGCCCATACCTCAATCTGCCCCATGGGCATGGGGGCGTCTTCTCTTTACAGCTGGTCGTCTTCGAGCAGGAAAACTTCCAGGGTCGTCGGGTTGAATTCTCAGGAGAGTGCCTGAACCTGGGAGACCGTGGATTTGACCGCGTGCGCAGCCTGATCGTCATCTCAGGACCGTGAGTGCTGGAGCAGGAGGGACACTCTCTGCCACAAAATAGCCACATTTGCCGCCACCTAGGGTCTTTCCCTAGCTTCTCTGCATTCCCTCTTTGACAGATAAAGAAACAGACTTGTGTAAGACTACCACGGGAGGAACCACATGTCCCCAGCCATCCCCTCTCCCAAACATCTGTAGTGTAAAAATGTAGTGTAAAAAGCAGGTGTATGGCATGTCAGAGTTGTCCAAGAGAGGGCTAACCCCCTCCCCAGTCAGCAGACAGGGAGACTGAGTTTCTGCCCGGGCTGAGGGGCAGAGCCCACATCTGTCACAGGCTGTTGGATTTCACTCCCGGTCCTCAGAAGCAACAGGCCGGCTCTCTCCAGAGCGATCACCATGAGCTGAGGTCATTGTATTGTTTCCCCAACATGAAATACCTAAGGAGTGTGGCCAGCCAGTGTTCAAGGCTTCTCAAGCTGCCCACGGCACAAAGGGAGGGACCAGCGTGGGTTCAAGGTCAGATTGAGATGGGACCTACTTGAGTTCCAATGCTCACTCCTTCCTGTATCTTGTTCTGTCTCCAAGCCTGTTTCCTTGACTCTGAAGCAAGGAGAGTCAGAATGATTCTGAGGCAGGATGGGGTCAGTGCTGACACCCAAGCATGGCAGTTGGCAGTGATGCGGATCTACCCTTCCCCCATTTCCCTGTGAATTTTATAGCAGCTCACCATGGTCTATGTTCTGTTTTGGGGGCCAATCATGGTCTTGCGCCCACTCCATCCCTGGTGTGGTCAACCCCCAAGTCAGCCCCACCCACCCCCTAAGCCCATCTTGGACAGGAACTGCTGGATGTGGCCATCTTGAGGTTTGAGAACGATCGGGATGCTGATGACTCAAACCCAGAGTATTTCTCCTCAAAAGAGAGAGAGAGAGAGAGAGAGCTATGCTCGTGTGTGTGTGTGTGTGTGTGTGTGTGTGTGTGTGTGTGTGTGTAAATTCAAGGGTTGTGCCCAAAAGGGACAGACATGGGACTGAGATCCAGGGACAAGGACTGTCAGGATCAGCATGTGTGTGGAAAGAAAGGACGACGAGATGGTCAGGGGAAGGAGAGGAGAAACATCTACTCAGAGATCTCATGTACCGTGAGGCCTGGGGGACCTCAGCCTGAAACCCAACACCAGGGCATGACTCAGCCTGGGCACCACCTCTTGGGGCTGAGGTTCCATTTGATGAGCCACAGGCAATGAGGATGGACACTCGGACACATGCTTGACATTTCTCACTGCTGACTGAGTCCTTTTGGGCTACCCAGACAGGACAGAGGAGTGTGGAGGGAGCAGAGCAGGTGACTAGACCACATCTGTCTTGTCTACGTATGCAGCCCCTCCCCCGTCAGCAGTCATAGATGAGATTACTTGTGCTGAGTTCCCTGGTTTCAGACCCTCAAACTTTCCAGGGATGCACATGTAGTCTCCTCCATCTCTTTTACTGATGTTTAACCACTATCAGCCACTGCTCCGAGGCGTGTGATGAATAAGCCAGTGATGAGCTGGGATTAGAACTCAGGTCTCAGTCTTCTGCATACCTGTGTGGCACCTCCTCCTGAGGTTTCCTCCCCGCCCACACTCTGTCCAACACATGTGTCACCTATCCATCTGTGCGTCCATCGATGGCCAATCCATCAGTCTAGTTTCTCTCCATCCCCTTTTGCCCATCTTTCCACCTCTATATCAACAATTTGCTCATTCATCCAGCTACTCAGCCAACAACGATCCTCCTGTTGTCACTTACTCATCCATCAATCCACACTCCCATCATCTACCCATCCATCCATTCTTTCATTCGCCTGTCTGTCCATCCGTCCATCCATCCATCTGTCCATCCATCCATCCGTCCATCCGTCCGTCCAGCCGTCCGCCTGCCCATCCGTCCATCCATCCGTCCATCCATCTGTCCATCCACCCGTCCATCCATTCTTTCATTCACCTGTCTGTCCGTCCGTCCATCCATCCGTCCGTCCATCCACCTGTCTGTCCATCCACCCATCCTTTGCTCTTCTCCCATCCGCTAACAAAACCTCAGTAGTATGCTTTGCTGTCAAGTCCACATCTCCCATTCTGTCACTTCAATATGGTTGGTTCATCCCTCAGACAAGATCCTGAGGCTCCCTGTGTGCTTCTTTCTCAGCCCATGATGGTGTCTCCTCATTGCCATAGTTCTGGTGAGAAGGTCCCAGCAGCCCTCAGGAAGATAACACTCATAGCCATGCGCCACCCTAACAGTGGGCATCCTGACTGCCAGGCTGGGTCTCAGCAAATGTGGATCATTTTTTCTCTCACACTCTGCTCACATTTGCTTCCTTTGATTTCATTTTCTTGTTTGGAGACAGGGTCTCACTGTGTAGCCCAGGCTGGCCATAGATGCGATGATCTACCTTGACGCTTCTCCCATGTGCTGGGATCGCAGGGTACATCACAGTCCCCAGCTTCTGTGTTTTATTTAAACAATCCTTTGACCACAAGCTTACACCACTCTGACAGTCCAAAACCTAGTTCCATTGCAAGTCACCGGTGGTACCCATGAGAAGCCTTGCTTTGAACCCAAAGCAGCACAAACCAGGGCCTGCAGGGCTGGGGCTGGTGCCCATTGCTCCTGTGGTTGGGAAGAAGCAACCAGTAGGCATTAGAGTCACGTTATCTGCAAGCTGAGACCTCCTCCCAGCTATTAGTGGCTTTAAAAGAAAATCCTTCTTGGTAAGTTAGTTGGCCCAGGGTCCTTGTAGTATTTAAAGCCTGTGTGAATCTCGTATTTGCTAAAAATAATTTTCTCAGATAATTATGAAAAGCATCTCATTTAATCCTTTGCCAACTCCAGAGAATGTTAGTGTAGATAAAGTGATGAAGACTGGGAGAGGAAAAGGCACGTGTCTGTAGTCACGCAGAAGCGAGGGGTATGGCACAGTGGGTTGGACTCACTGTGGGTTTTCACCGTGGTGGCTGGGCCGCTGTGCTGGGGAGGGCACTTGCTGACACATTCACCTTTCTGTCTCTGTCCCTCTTGGTCCTTCTTGTGCTCAGCTGGGTGGCCTTTGAGCAATCTGCCTTCCGTGGGGAGATGTTTGTCCTGGAGAAGGGTGAGTACCCACGTTGGGACACCTGGACCAGCAGTTACCGTAGTGACCGACTCATGTCCTTCCGGCCCATCAGGATGGTGAGTGGCTGGGACTGGGACAGAGGACATGGTAAACAGGGAAGTGTGGTGACGCAGGCCCGTGATCCCAACCCAGGGGAGGTGGAGGCAGGAGGGTTATGAGTTCAAATCTAGCCTTGGCACAAGGGATTTGGGGGGGGGGATAGTTGTGACATCTTGACGATATGACAACATGCCAAATTAGCTCTGTGATGCTTAGAGCAGCATTAAGGAGATGAATCCAGATCATCCAGGTGGAGGCAGCCCCGTATGGTACGTGGTTGTTCCAGAATTATGAATTGATTATGAGTCATGAGCCAATTACTTCTTACTCACCGGTGCCGGTCTCTGACGGCACCAACTACTCACCTCTTGAGGTGGTAACATCCGTGAAGAAAGCTCATTCACGAAGCCCACCCCCTTTGAGGTGTAGCTGTGGGTTATGCAGCCAGAGTGATCACAGCACATTGAGAACCCCAGGCTGGAATTCAGCCTTCACAGGTCTTTAAGGGCTTGAAGCTAAGCTCTGTGTAGCGGGCACAGCTGGACATTGTGCCCAACTAGGGCATGAACATTAACCCCTTAGGGCAATGGTTCTCAACCTGTGGGCTGCAACCCCTTTGCCTAAACCTCTATCTCCAAAAATATTTACATTATGGTTCACAACAGTGACAAGAATTACAGTTACGAAGCAGCAACGAAAATAGAGTTTTATGATTGGGGGGGAGGGGTCACCACGACCACTGCTCTGGAAGATGCTATCTCATAGTGTAAGCACTAACCATTTGTTGTTGTAGTAGTTGTTGTACGTGTTGCTTTGCGTTTTGAGACAGGGTCCCACACTGTACCCAGGCTTCCTGTTTCTCCTGGGGTCACAGGGGTGCACCACCACGATCAGATCCCAAGTAGTTACTGAACCTGTGAAATTTGCCTGGTCTGGATGGAGACGTGCCCAGGGGAGCCTGAAGCACACTCCTGATTTTAAACACACAGCCTTGTCTTTCTCACAGGTGTAAAAGATCATGCTCCCATGATCACAATGGCCAAATTAAGATTACGATTGTATTTTAGACATATTAGAAAAGATATATTATAAAAATTATTTGAAAACTCTTGACACCCAACCTCACCCCAGACCAATTAGTTCTGAATCCATACTTGACCCTGGAGGCCCCTTTCCTTCCTCCCACCTCCAGCCCAGGTAGTCTCTTAGGGCCATAGCCCAGTTGTCTGATTTGTCCTACGTGTCCCCTGCGACTGTCCTGGTCCCCACAGACCCCACACACCGCTCCTGGGTTCCCTGCCTCTCCCTCATCCCATTTTCATGAAAATTAGGAAATTATTTCCAAAATCAAACCTGATCATTGGGCACACAACTTTAACCCTGCACTTGAGGAGGCAGGGGCAGGCAGACCTCTGAGTTTACAGCCAAGCTGCTCTACAGAGTGAGTCCCATGTTAGACAGGGCTACATAGCTGAGACCCTATTAGGCACTTTGGGGTGGCTTGGCTCCGCCGGCTCTGCCCTGGGCTCTGGAAGCCCACCTACAACCAGAAACCTTTGCCTTTGCTGCTTGGGTAGGTGGGTGAGAGGAACTGGAGTTGGTTGGCAGTGGGCAGGGCAGCCAGCACCTGAAGGTTAAGAGCTGAGTCATCCCAGGGAGAGCTAGAGGAAAAGCCACCCAGAGGCCGGTGAGGGTAGGGCTGTAGCAGGCTCAGACTAGCTGAAGACATTAAATACTAGCACCCGGACAGACGTGCCTGCAGCAGAAGGGAGTGGGCAGGCCAGGATGGAGATGGAACAGGCTGGGAAGGAGAGAGAGGAGGGGTCCCACAGGGCCTTATGGGACACCGTGAGGTCTCACCTCCAATGCAACAGGAAGCCACTGCCTGGCTGACCCTTCTCACGGCCCTCAGAATGGCAATAGCTACAGGTGACAGTCACTGGCGCTGATTAAGTAGTGGCTTTGTCTTCTGTGTCCCCATCCCTACCTCGCACCACACATCCTCTTTCAGGGACATTTCTGGTCCAGCACAGCAGCCTTAGTCTATGCCTTTTCTGCTCAGTGCGACCTCTGCCCTACTTCCCTTCTCTGGCTCTCATACTCCTACTTGACCTACAAAGTCTTAAATTTCCCTTTCACTTCCCTTCCCGGTGGGAGAGCTAAGGGACTGACTTCACTTACCGTCTCCCACTGCGTCTCACGGTGGGGGGGGGGGATGCTCTCCTGCCCTGTCCCTCCTTCCCCTGTTGCCGGCCCACCACGGTGAATGATGCAACCCTTTATCATCGAGCACCCGCTGTATGCTCTTCCCTTTGTGGAATCCGCACCCGCAGCCCTAGTAGGCAGAAACCATTACAAAACGCTGGTTGTAACAATGAGGAAACTGAGGCACGGACATGGACAATGAAGCTCTTCATGCCGCACAGCTTGTGGGTAACGGGCTGGGCCTTGCCCTGCACCGCTGGCTGCTCGCCTCTGTGGCATTTGCTTCATCAACTAAAACTCCTTGCGAGTAGCTGGTGGGGCTCAGCGGGAGGGCACTTGCCTAATACGCAGGATTCCCCCAGCACCTCAAAAGGAAGAAACAAAACCATCAGCCAAACAACAACAGCCACCATTTTCCAGCCAGAACTCCTTCTATGCTGACATCCGGGTGCGCCTCAGTCTCTTCTAGGTCCCATGGGTGAGGCAGCAGCAATCCCCATCCTATGGGAGAAAGTACTGAGGGCCTGAAGGACAAAGTGAGATGCCCAAGGTAGTGGGCACAAGGGCCACAGGCAGGACTCAAACCCAGGTCCATGCTCCTCATGCCCTTCCACAGCTCCATGGTCGGTTGTAGCTCACTCTGACTAGAAGTTCATGTACAAAGACACCGAATGGGGCTCCCCAATAATTCAGAGGCTGCACCTCTAAAAGGTGCCATCCCTTGCCAGCTGTGTGATGTAAATCACTGTGCTTACCCTCTCTGGGCCTCTGTGTTGCTGCAGGGTGAGGACACACATTGCCACATATAAACTTGAGCCTGTGTGAATCATCTCATTTTATCCTTAGGACACCTGAGATGTAGCAACCACTATCTCCTCTTCCCAGATGAGGAGGATTCTTACCGGGCGAGGCCCATGGGTCCCTCCCCACCCTTTTCTTCTCCCCCAACTGCTTTTATTTCTCACTGGTCTTGGCCTCTCCAGGATTCCCAGGAGCATAAGATCTGTCTGTTTGAAGGCGCCAACTTCAAGGGCAACACCATGGAGATCCAAGAGGATGATGTGCCCAGCCTCTGGGTATATGGCTTCTGTGACCGTGTGGGCAGTGTGACCGTCTCCGGTGGCACGTAAGCATCCATGGCCCCCACAGCAAGTGCGGAGTCAGAGGCTAAGGCTGCCAGAGATGAAATGTCACACCAGGTCCTTGAGAAAGACCTGGTAACCAGCCCCCATACACACACACACACACACACACACACACACACACACAGCCTGGTGTACCCACCAATAGCAGGTTGGAAGGAACTGAATGGAATGTGGCTATTCCTCCGCAGAAAGCAGCCAATGGCAAGCAATGGGTCAGAGAAGGGCTTGGAAAGACATGGCTTGTGTTCAGGCAAGGACTGAATTTAGAGAGAATTAATCACTGTGTCTTTCCTCGGCGAGGTGCATTCACCCATCGGAAACGGGAGGGAGTGCAGGCCCCACCATCCCCACCCCGCAGAGAGTAAACTGAGGCCCACACAGCTCAGCTCCTGGGCTTGTCTGTCAGTTATCTGACCCAGCACATGAAGGACACCCAGGTTTGGAGACACGGCTCCTGACGCCTTGTCCTTATCGCCTGGAAGCTCAAGACTCTTGCATTGGATTCCACTCTTCCTGGATGGGGGTGGGGGGGCACATGACTGTGCCCACTTTTCCAGGGAGAATACTGAGGCCTATCAGAAAGGGGAAGGCCGCGTCCCAGGGCATGGGGCAGGAAAGGCCAAGCCACGGCAGGCATGCGGGGCCCCTCCTGGGATACTAGAGAATGGGGAGGAGAGGGGGACCCTGGTCGCCTCTATACCTTTCCTGCTCTCTTCCCAGATGGGTCGGCTATCAGTACCCGGGCTACCGTGGCTACCAGTATCTGCTGGAGCCCGGCGATTTCCGACACTGGAATGAGTGGGGCGCCTTCCAGCCGCAGATGCAGGCTGTCCGTCGCCTGCGGGACCGCCAATGGCATCATGAGGGCTGCTTCCCGGTGCTGGCCGCTGAGCCCCCCAAGTGAGTCAAGCTGCACCGTTCCCTGCTGCAATACCCCCTGCCTCATTGTCCCATCTCCCCCGCTAATAAAAGTCCCTGCAGCGGAAATACCCTCGAGTCTGTGAACAGTGTGCACGGCCTGCGACGACACCTAGTTGTGGTAGCAACTTGAACAATCAATCATAAACACAGAAATCACCACAAAGATCTTTCTTGTTTTGTTTTTTGTTGTTGTTCCCTCCCCCCACCGTCCCCCCCCCCAGGGAGCAGGTCATATGTCCCCAGCTGGCCTTGAGTTTCTTGTATCCAAGAAGGATGACCTTGGATCTCTGTACTCCCTCGGTAGTGGGAGATGATAATCTTACGTTTCTGAACTGCCTTCTTCTCAGAAGTGAGCCCGGAGCTTTGCACACGCTAGGCAAGAGTTCTACCAGTTAAGCTATGTCCCCAGACTATTTCCTTGTTTGCTTATTTATTTATTGAGACAAGGTCTAGAGACTGTTGAGAGATGGCTTAGTGGTTAAGAGCACTGTCTGCACTTCCAGAGGACCTGGGTTCAATGCCCAGCACCCACATGGTGGCTCACAAACAGCTATAGCTTCAGTCCTAGGGGATCTGATGCCGTCTTCTGGCTTCTAGTGATCCCAGGGATGCAAGTGATGCACATACATTCCCACAGAAAAAACACTGACGCACATAAATGTGTGTGTGTGTGTGTGTGTGTGGTGTGTGTGTACACATATATGACAAGGCCTTGCTCTGTAGCCCAGACTGACCTGGAACTCAGGATCCTCCCACCTCAGCCTCCTGCGTGCTGAGATCACAGGCCTGTGCCGCTATGCCTGGCTGGCTGCTAGTGTCTTCACCTACATCTTAGGATAGCTTTCAGCCTACTTAGATCAGTATCACAATCCTTCCCTTTGGAAGTGTGAAGGACTGCAGGCCCAGAGATGGGAACAGACTTGCCCAAGGCCTCACAGTCAGTGGCTGCACCCAAATCCAGGCAGTCTGGCTTCAGAACCTACCTGCACATCACACTCTCGTCCTCCCAGCCACCCCCAGGTGACTTTCTGTTCGACTTGGATATGATCTGGTGAGGGTTTGCACTTGGAACCTTAAATTGACCCATTGGTTTGTAAACAAAACTTTATTATAACACTCCAGGAAGCAGAAGCTCAGCCTCAGATACTATAGACATAAGGTATTCCCACCAAGAGACCAAATGAAGTTTGAAGAAGGGCTGTGTAAGCCTCAGTGGCAGCCACAGCCTCCCTAAGTCTAGCCAGCCTACTCTTGACATGACTCAAGCCGGTCGTTAGTTAGCACGTGTCGGAGAAAAGTACAAACCAGCCGAGATAAATATATTTATTTAATGTTCCTGTTTAAGCAGAGAAGATCTAAAGGAGTGGGCTACTTTTGACTAATCAATTCAATTCAGCCCACGGGTCCAGCCATAACCGTGTCTCCCGGAAATCTCCACCAGGCATTATTGACTCCTGTTATCCGAAGCTAGCATTGACTGACGTTAGCCAGACGTGGCAAGAAGGGTGTTGCTATGGATATCTTCCGGGAGAAGAGGCTCAAGTGATGGAACCAGAGTCAGCTTTGTGAAGCGTGGAACACAGGGAAGGCTATATTGTAGGCAGAGCAAACAGCAGAGCCCTGCTGGCCCAGATGGCCCCCCGATGTATATAGGTGATTAAATGAAGCAGGTGGCCTCTTCCTGCCACCTGCTAGAGACTTCTGGTAGCAGCCTGTGATGTCTGCAGTGTGGAAGCAACACTCTGCGCGGCAGCCAGCTTGCACAGCTGTGCCTATCGGCTTAGCAGTTCCTCGAGTACAAGCACAGGTTGCAGAGAGCTTGTGGTAGTTGGAGCAAAGCATCCTGGGGTGGGGGCTGCAGCTTGGCGGTTGGGGTGGGACAGGCTGGGAGGTGGAGTGGGCAAGAGATGAAAGTGGTTGAGCAGGTGGGACCTCCTAACACCTCACTCTGGGCTTTTTCTGGGGCTTCAAAAACAGAGGCACCTTGTTACCTAGCCTTACTCGGGGCTAGCACTGTGGTGCCTACATCCTGCCTCTTCCCCAGAGGCTGGTGGTCCCCTCCCACTCCACAAGGTAGGCAGCATCTTGGGCAAGAAGACAGGCTTATTTGTGGGCCAGGGTTCCTGGGATGATCCAGAGCCACAAGTGTTTGGTCTGAGCTTCTGTTGGGCCCTGGGATGTGTCCCCTGAAAGGCCTTGTTCTGCATCTTCCCTCTGTCAATCAGTAGCCCCTACTGTCCCTCCAAGCCCGAGATTCTGAAGTTTCGGTTCTCTGTAGCACATCACTGATCTCCCATGACCAGGCTGGCCTTAAACTCACTGAGACTGGCCTGCCTCTGCCTCCCCAGCGCTGGGATTAATGGCGTGCACCACCACTTCCTGGCTCTTGTTTTCTTTTTGATATTATAGCCCAGGCTTGCCTGGAATTTATTGGGTAGCTGAGGATAATCTTAAACTTTCGATCCTGCCACCACCTCCTGAGTAGACAGAGGAATTAAACCCTTGCTGTAGCAGAGTAGAGCCCTACAGTCCTGAGCCACATCAACTTAACCTCCATAACTGCTTAGCTCCAAGTTCCTGCTGACAGCATTATGCACCAAGATCTCTTATTTCCACAAAGAGAGGTAGATCTCCAGTCACTCAGAGTTTTTATGTCATCCCTGTTGGAAGAAAGATTTGTATTTCATTTGCATGGCCATTTTCTTTTACTTGTGTGCATCTGATGAGTCCTAGAAAAACAGAAGACAAACAGAAGTTGGGGCTACAGATTAGGTTGGTACACACTCGCCCAGCCTGCTCAGATCCCTGGGTTTGATCCCAGCACAGAAAATACTGGGTGTGGGGCCACATGCCTATAATTACAATACTTGGGGGGTGCTTGCAGGCAGGAGGGTCTGATAGGCAAGGTTATCCTCTGCTATGTAGGGAGTTGGAGTCAGCCTGGGCTACATGAGACTCTGGGGGAGAGGGGTGGTGATGGGGTGGGGAGGAGAATAGTCGGGAGGGAGAGGGGAGGAGGGGGGAGGGATGGAAATAGAGAAAGCAGGAATTCAGCAGTTTAATTAATTTAAAATTCCTTCCTAGTTGCTCTCAGCTCACTTGATATCTATATTTTTTTTGATGGTACCTACAGGAGAAAAATTTGGATTTTTGTATGAGATTTTGTATGAGATTGGATACATACACTTGCCAAAACAAACACAAAGATCCAGATGGAAATAACAGTCATTTTTTTTTATTTATTGTTTTGCCAGAAAATTTATGAGACACACTGTAAGAAAAACAAAGTATGCAAAAGACTCTAAGCAAAATAAAAACTGTCGAGGGAAAGGACTTTGAGTACAGGGCCAGGATGATCACAGCAAGTGCCCGGAACTTGCCCCTTCTGCCCCAGGTCCTGACTCCAGTCTGTTCTGGAAATGTGAGGCCCTGGCCACCTGGGGAAGAACTCTAGCTTCAAGGTGAAAAGCCACCATGTGTTTTGAAACCAAAGCCCAGTTTCAACCTCAACTCAAAACATGGTTTGGCGGTGACACTGAAGGAAGATGGGGGCTGGTTGCAGGGCCTACTTTTCTGGAAGGTTCTCTGGGAGCCTGGAGTCCTTCCCCTCACACTAGGCTTACAGCTGCAATTAGCTGGAAACTCTCTCCCCTACACACCCACCCACTACACATACTATATCCAAGGTTTTGAATCTTTGACTCCAGGCCTCTGGGAAGACAAAGTATCTCCCTGTTGATTTTATTTGTATGACCCATATATTTTGCCCTTGAGGTACAACATAGGGTGTGTGTGTGTGTGTGTGTGTGTGTGTGTGTGTGTGTGTGTGTGTGTATAGTAGGAAGGAGCAGACCAGGAAGTGCTCAGGGGCACTGGTCAGCATCAGCCATCATCATACCCTGGAGGACATACAGCAGCTGAGCTCATGAAGAGATGGTTCCAGGGTGTCCCAGGGAATCTCTAAAGAGGTAAGCATCTAAAGCTGGTGGTGATGGTCCATGGCTAACCCCACCCAGCTCTTGGGAGGCAGAGGCAGCATGATAAACCTGTGCTACAAAGTGAGAGCTGTTTCAAAAAAAAAAAAAGAAAGAAAGAAAGAAAGAAAGAAAGAAATCAGTCACTGAAGTTCTTGTCTTCCATGAAGACTTTAGTTCAAGGCCCAGAACCCATGAAAATGCTGGGTGTGCATGTAATCCCAGCACTGGGGAGGCAGAGACAGGAGGATCTGGGCCTCGTGGGCCAGCCATCTAGCATAATTGGTCAGCTTCTGGCCAATGACAGACATTGTTTCAAAGGATATAGATAGGATTTCAGAACATAACACTTCGGGTTGCCGTGGGACACACACACACACACACACACACACACACACACACACACACACACACGAGCTCACATTAAAATGACAGGACAAAATCAGAGATGAGCACCCTGTTTGGAGCCATGTCACCATGGCAGCGGTCCTCTGAGTCAGAGATCTAGGGCGCTTTCTGAAGCCTGACCATCCAGAGAGAAATGGTAACTCCACCCACTTCCTGCCAGAGAAGGGACCCACTGCCAGCTGCCTTCTGCTACCAGAGGGCTGGGGAGGTGAGAGAGACCTGAGCTTATATTAGTCCTAAGAGGCTGCTGTAGCTCTCAAACCAGATTTCCTGACCGGACCTCTGTTTCCTCATCTGTAGAATGTGTGTGACGATAAGAAACCTCAGAAGGCTGTTGGGGAGCGTGAGCAGGCAGGTTGAAAATAACTAAAAACAAAACAAAGCCAAACCTGGTAATGCTGGGGATGGCTTTGAGAGTGTTAGGCATGAGCTCTATACTAAGGCACACCCTTTGCCTGGGAGTATCCTTCTGAATAGCTCCAAGTATAGGCTATGCACCTGAAGAAAGAATAGCCTTTGACACTGCATCCACACAGCCATTGATACTGCGTCCACACAGCCATTGATACTGTATTCACATAGCGATTTATAGAGTGTCCACATAGCCATTGATGCTGTATCCACACAGCCATTGATACTGTGTCCACATAGCCATTTATAGAGTGTCCACATAGCCATTGATACTGTATCCACACAGCCATTGATGCTGTATCCACACAGCCATTGATGCTGTATCCACATAGCGATTTATAGAGTGTCCACATAGCCATTGATACAGCGCCCACATAGCCTTTTGGGGGTCAGTGTTAGGAAGATGTTAGACGTGTGTGCTTGATGCTACATCTCTATCCCATCCTCTGGAGATCCCTGAATTACCATATTTTTAGAACCCGCTAAGGAAGGAGGTTGTTGAGCAGATAAAGGAGGAACCCATCCTGGAAGGCCCCAACCAGGGGACAGCGATGGAAATGAGCTCCTTTACCCAACTGCCTTCAGATTCCCAGGCTGATCCATAAGGGAGGGGCAGGGAGTGAACTTCCCCCAGGGGTGACAGTCAGATGGAAACCTGCAAGACTTTGCTGCTGTGGGTGGCTGCCAGAATGCCCACACCCGCCATCCCCTCAGATCTACCCTACCTGTCTTCCTAGTGACTCTGGAAGCAGAACCCTTATGCTGCACCCATGTGCCCACCCTGGGATGTTTAACTACACCTGGGATGAACAAAAGGCTGCCTGTTCCTCCCCAGGAGCACCCGGAGAGATCGCCACAGAAAGCACAGCTAGCCACGCCCTTCCCTGATGAACACCTTCCAGGCTCTTTTTCTGGTGGAGGAGACATGGTAGAGACCCCCTTCCCCAGCTCACAGGAGCCTGCCAGCATTCTCTGTCCTCGACCACAGGTCCTACCTACCTGACCTAGTGCAAGGCCTCGGGCTGACCTCCTCTCTACCGGATGCCGTGCCTGCCACCCCACACTCTGCTGTGACTAATGCGCTTTTCATGACTAGTACCACACGCCACCCTGCCTGAGCTCCAGGTTGTGGTGTAAGAACTCCATTTTTCCTCCCTGGACAAGCTTAAGGCACTATTCCCTGGTCACTTACACAGACTCTACTGTGGAAGGGTTGTTGAGGGGCAGGGGGATCCAGCTTCCTTCCAGAATCACAGAGCCCAGTACAGAGAGCCCTTCTCCTGAGCAGAAGACTCCTTCCGACCTCTTTCTTTGATATCTTTCTTCACCCATAAATAGTGTGACACCCCAAAGTCTCAAATATGCACGCTATAAATGCTATACGGTGTGGTTTTATTGTAAAGAATTGGCTTCACCAAGGTGGGGGTCAGGAGCAGGCTCTGTTTTATGGAATACATGAATGAATGGCAAACATGTATCTGTGGGTGCGTGCATATTTATGCTGGTTGTAACTAGGATAGAAATTTATTACATTTATTTTTTGTATAGGTACACAGGATACTGTTTCACAGCACCCCCAGAGGTCAAAGGACAACTTGTTGGGCGGGGTGGAAGGGTGGAGGGGGTTGAGGGGATGGGGGGTGTCTGCTCTCTCCTTGCATGATGTGTGGGTCCTGGGGTTCGAACTCAGGGTCTCAGGCTTGGAGGCAGGTGCTGTTATCCACTGAGCCACCTCGCAAACTGCAGGGTTTTATCTTAAATATTTATTTATTTTTATTACTGTGCGTGGCCATGGCGCACGTGTGGAGGTCAGGGACAACTTTGTGGAGTCGGCTCTCTCAGTTCGGGGATTGCAAGCGTCTTTACAAAACGAGATCATCTCTCCGGTCCCGGAAATGTATTTTAAACAGTTTAACACACTCAACATGTATCTATGGTGTAAACAGAGGATAGAGAGACAGAACTTTCTCCCTTGCTCGGCACACCTTGGGCTGGCTGCTCTCTGGGGCGCTGCCCTGGGCTGAAGGGCGGCGGCATGGCGTCTGGACACAGGCCTGAGTGGCTGCGCCCTGCGGGATGCCGAGCGAGCAGGGTACGCCCGCCTGGTTGCAGGTTCTAGAGCTGCAGCCTCAGCAGGCTGGAGCCCCGCCCCCAGGGAGGAGGCGAGGGCGGGGCAGCGCAGGGAGGGGGCGGACCCTAGAGACTCCACCCCTCTTGCGTCACGGCGCTCGGCCCTCCCCCTCGCGGCCCCTCCCTGCAGGAGGGCGAAGCCGCGGGGAAGGGGAAAGGGGCGTGGCCTAGGCAGTGTGGGCAGAGCCTATCCAGGCCCCGCCCCCAGCCGGCGCTTCCAGGCTGGCCTGGAATATCCTGCGCGAGGGCGGCGGTAGGAGGGGGCGTGGTCGAGCGGTAGGCCACGGGGGCGGGGCGTGAGCCCTGCGGCCCCGCCCCTTGCGTCACGACCCGAGGCCCCGCCCCTCCCCTCGCGGCGCCTCCCTGGCGGCCGGCAGGGAGCCGGAGTCTGCGCGGGCGCGGGCGCCGATTTGGGCACGGTAGGTGGCGGCGGCCTCGGCCAGTGCCGGGTCCCGGCTGCCCGGCGCGGTGGGGACTGTGGGTGGTGCGGACAGGCCTGTCGGGCCGCGGCGGGGGGCGTGTGCGTGTGTGTGGGGGACACGCGTGGCCTGGAGCCCCACCCGCGCGGCGCCGCGGGGAAGTTAACTTGCGGAGGTCGCGCGCGGCCCACGGTGGTTCTCAGAACGCAGCTACTGGCTGCCTCTCGCTCTGCCTGGCTTGCCGGCTTCCTGCTGCACGCGCGGGGAAACTGAGGCCCGGTGCCCGGCCGCTAGGACTCTCCCCGCGGGGCTCCCTGCGCGCGCGCGTGCTGGCGAAGGGGCTTCCGGATTTGAACCCCTACCCCTACCCCCACCCCGGAGGTGGCTTGCCCCCTTTGCCCCGTCTCCTCCCCGCGTCCACACTGTCCCTCCGCTCTCCCCCAACCCTTCATTTCTTTGATCCCAGCAGGGTTGCCTGACGGTTAGTTAGGCCCAGCTTCTTGCACTGGTGCAGACCCTGGAGGGAGGCTGCCCACTTCTCCAGCCCCAGTTTCAGGGGATGCAGAGCTGGGTTTGTTGCATTAGCCCAAAGGGACTGTGAAGTTATTCTGTGAACCGCTGTGCCCGCCTCGGCACGAGCTTATCTATTTACCATATCTTGTTTTTAAAAACAGTATTTAAATATTTCGTAACAGCTTCTCCGCTAACCGTACAACTCACCCTTTGGAAGTGAACTTCAGGTGGATTTTAGGGTACTTTGATCTCGCACTGTCCCCGTTTGTCTACTTTTAGGACATTTTCACATTCCCCCAGAGCAGCACTCATTAGCACTGGGTTCCCAGACCTCTTTTCCCCAAGCGCTGGCCGCTCTCCACACCTACTGCCTGTCTATGAACTTGCCTATTCTGGATAGTTCTTTCTGTGGTTCCTCATGGGATCAGAGGCTTTATAGCCATCATAGCATCCAGCAGAATATATCTTTTTTTTAATGAGTAAATAGTATTACCTAGCGTGAATAGACCGTGTGTGTGTGTATGTATGTATGTGTGTGTATATATATATATATGTGTGTGTGTGTGTGTGTGTGTGTATGTGTGTGTCCATTGACTTGTAAATGGACAGTGGAGTGATGCTTCATTTTGGCTGTGATTAATACTGCTACTGGGAATGTTTTACAAGTGTTCTCAATTTCCATCTAATACTTTACCTAGGACTAGGGGTTCTTGGGGCTAAAGGGTCTCTTTAAAACTTAATGTATTAAGGAGCTGCCAAACTCCCAAAGTGCCTGACCACTTCACACGACCACCTGTGATGTGTGATGGCTGAGATAACGTTTGTGGCCAGGTCTTAAGTAGCCCAAGCTGACCTTAAACTCCCGACCCTCCAGTTTTAGCCCTGGAGTGCTGGAATTAGAGGCATGTATCACCTGCCTGGCTTGAGGCTTCCCACAATCCTGAGTTTTCTCTTCTGAAGACGTCAGGACATTCCTGGCTTCCATGCATTTGTTATAAATGATTTCCTAGTTCACGTTAAAAACAAGTGTCTCATTCATGGACTGTAGGGTAGCAGGCATGTTGTGGGGAGGTCGGTCCCTGGGACCTTCATGTAAGGAGCAGTGGTGATCAGACCCTCGTATCTGCTGGTGTTGGGGCCTGGACCTGCCTAGTCTTCTCTCCCTCCCTGTGCTGGGTGAGGAGAGGCAGCAGCAGAGGAGGGCAGTCAGGCTTTTCCCACAGGAAGGGAGGTAGAGGTGTGGGTATGGGGGTGTGTGTGTGTTGTGTGTGTATATGTGTGTATATGTGTGTAGACAGGGTCTCCTCTGACTCACTGTGGAACTGAAGGTGACCTTTAACCCCTGGGTCTCCTGCCTCCACCTCCCAAATGCTAGCATTTCGGGCAGGGGCAGGCAACAGGACTCTTTTATTCAGTGCTGGGGGGTAGGACCCAGGGATTCAGGCATGCTAGGAGAGCACTCTGTCAGCCCATCTACATTCCTTTTATAATTATTGTGGGTGCCATGTGCGTCTATGCACGTGTGGGGTGTACCTGTCCATCTGTAGGTTTGGGGAGGCCAGGGTTTGATGTGGGGTGTGTCACTCCCCACCCCCACCCCGCCACCATGTTTTCTGAGACAGTCTCTCACTAAATGCCGAACTGGCCAGGGTGCCCCCAGGACCCGCCTGACTCAAGACCCCTACCTCTTCAGGTGCATGCTGCTGACACTCTGCCTGCCCTCCTCCCCCGGGCCCCTCAAGAAGGTCATACAGCATAGCCTTGGCTGGCCTGGAACTGACAGATATCTGCCTGCCTCCTAACTGCTGGGGAGCCAGAGTTGCACACCCAGCCTGTTCCATTGCCCTGAACCACATTTTTGAAGGGAGTCTGATTTCTGAAGGACAGTCCGAGCTTCTGGTCATTACCTGTTGCAGAGTTTTAAAACATTACGCTGCAGGTCCTGCCCAGGTTCAGCCTGGTGTCACCTGACGGTGGCTGGTGACAGAACTGTAAAAGCAGGGCCCCAGGCTCTACGTGTAGCTCCCTCACTCACCTTAGTTCCTTGGTGAAGAAGACAGTCTAGGGAAAGGGAGGTCTCTATGCCTTGTGTCTTTGTTGGGGAAATGGATGTGCATCTGGACTACCTTGGACTCCGGAAGGCCGCCAGGGCATTGCCCATGTGGTGTCGTGGGCGTATTTGTAGCTAGAGTGTAGGCTTGTGTGGCTTCACGGTGGCTTTTTGCGAGCTTAGGTATGGCTTGGGTGGCTTTGAATTTCCAGGTGACCCCACGGAAGCTCCCCCTGAGCTGCTGTCTGTGCCTGCCCTCCCGCCACCCATGCCTTGCTGTCTGTGAGGCACTATGCACTCCCTGGGCCATAACTGGCCCAGCTGCAGACATGCCGCAGAAGTCTAGGATGCCCCTCTCCCATCCTAGGCTGCAGGCTGAGGAGGAATTGTGGGCATGAGTCATTTGAAATAGCTGGAGGACTGGGCCAAGCCCCAGAAATTGCAGGGGAGGACCAGGGAGGACATTACTGCCTGGGAGATCGCAGCTGGTAGCCCGGCTGCCAAGTGGGTTCTCACATTTACCAGGCTCTTGACCCAGGCTGGTCTGTGGCAGAGCGATGGCAAGGCCAGGGAGCAGTTGCTGCTCACTACCCCTGGGCTGAGTTTGCAGAACAGGGTACAAGTGGCTGCCACCTCCTTGGGAAAGGAGGGCATGGTGACGACATAAGCTGAGTAGGACAGGCCCTTGGAATCCAGAGCCTGCCCTTTACAAGAACCTTCAGCTTCCCCCTATCACAGGCAGTGATTCCAAACCTGGCTGACACCCACAGGGCCATCTGGAGCCCTCAGCCCGGCTCTCTGTACAGCAGAGGCGCAGAGCGCACGCAGATGGCCACAGTGGTCGCTGCAGGGTCGCCGAGCTGCTGGGTTGTCCTCATAGTTTACCCTGCTTACCATCTCGTTTCCCTCTGTATGGCCCAGCACTTGAGTCCCTGGGCCTGGCGGGCGGTTACAAGTCTTAGCGGCCCATGTGCACGCATTTGTGGTTCTCACCTCACTGGCGGGGTGGACAGATGCAGGGCTCTTGCCTTGTGAAGTCCGGAGAGCTTCTGAGCCCCAGCTCCCTCCAGATGGCCGTGAGGTTGGGCAAGGCGCTCCCGGCTCTGGGCCTGTTCTTCCTGCCAAGGGAGGGGTTCACTCACTGCCCGCGGCTTTTGTTTAGGCGGTGCGGCTTTTCGAGGTTGGTCAGTTGGCTTTGTCGTTCTGGGAATTGAAACTGGGGTTCTACTATGCTAGCGAGGCGGGCTCTCTCCCACTGAACGGCAGCTCCAACCTACTTCTCGTGTTTTATTTTGAAGTAAGGTCCTAGGCTGGCCTAGAACTCTTGTAGCCCTGGCTGGCTTAGAACTTTGAATGTCCCTGCTTCGGCCTCCCAGAGTTAGGATGGCAGGCCTATGTCACTGGGCGTGGCTGCTTTCCTGGTTTTAATTGGACTGACGATGAAACGTTTGTAGAGAAAATGACAGAGGCTCCCTCAGGTGTCCTGGGCTGCCCTTACTATCTCTGTAGTCCCCCTCCTGTTCCAATTGTTACACATTCAGGACTGGTCCCAGGACTTTGAACCGGTGTCCAAGAGCATCAAGGCTTCTAGGGTGGCCAGAACCTTCCTTGTGTTTAAAGCCATCCCCACTGCTTAACATCTTTTAGAGCTCCTTTACCTCCCTCTATATTCTCCAGGAGCATCCTGGCCCCTACTGCCGTCATGTGCTCCTCGGATGGGCATCTGTCTCCATCACTCTTCAAGTCACAGAATTCCTCCTCAGTGGGTTCAGGTCTGCCCTAAGCCCAGGCTCTCTGCTGCGGCTAGGCAGGCAGGCAGGCAGGCACTCCCGATTCTGGAATACATGAATCTGAACTACTGGCTGCAGGGACAATGTCCCCCTCCCCTTGCTCTGTCCTCAATAGCTACACCTCTTATTTCCCAAACACCGAGGCCGGCCACTGCTTAGCTTAATTTAGGTTGTTGTTTAGCCAGCATGTGTAGAGCCTGTTTTGCCTAGAGAGACACCCCTGCTCCACATACGCCGACTTCCACCCCCCACCTCTTACTGTTGTGCACAGTGCCAGGTCCAGAAGATGCTGGACACTCAGGAGCTGTGTCTTGCACTAAGGCATACTGAGAGTCTCTAGGAAGAAGCTGTTACCAGATCCAGAGGCAGCGAGGGCCCCTTGTCCCTGGGGATCTGGGGAGTTGGGGCCTAACATGCCTCCCTCCCCGTGCTGGTTTCTAAAGAGCGCGTTTGAAGCATTGAAGGCCTAGGCTCAGGAGCCTGTGGGTCCCACCTACCACTTGTTCTGGAAGAGTGCTCACTGCCTGCCCGTGGCTGCCGCATCACGTTAGAGTACGTAGTTCCCCCATCTCCCCAAACTTTCAGTCACTCTTTATGTCAGCAGTGGCCTGAAAGCATTAAGTGGAAATCTCTAGGGAAAAGCAGCT